GTGTGAAAGTTAAAACAGTGAACCTCCAAGGAGATTACCCTGGTAAGAGCGAAGCCTGAAAAACGCACCCACCAGGATCAAAATCGATCAATCAAACGTTAAACCGTAATGGAATCTGTAGCTCGAAACCCAACAGAGACCAAATAGGTGAAGCAGAAATTACCGAGCAAAACTTCTCCCCTATTGATAATAAATATCTGATTTTACTTTCAAATTGTGTTCTAATTTGTGTCAGCAAATACCTATCAATACTCGATCAACTAACCCGCGTTGAAGTGAAACATTGATCGATAAAACAGAATGGGTAAACTGATGGATCGGATTCGACGAAAACACAAAGATCGTGGGCTGGTTCGAAAGGAACCAATTCATATCCGAGTAAGTATATTTTGAGAAAAAATTATGTTTATTTACTCGATTGTCAAGCGCATACTAAAATAATATGTAAAATGCATTGATAAGATTTTAAAACCCCACTCCGAAATCGATAAAAGGCACATGATACTTGGTTTCACCAAGTCCACGCAGCGAATGTTCATTTCTGTCCTCGTAAGCGACTGAAGTGCATCAGGTATTGATTTACGTGTTTACGACACTTGTTTCTACATTTGAAATATAGAGTTGCATGATTCCAAACTGTGGTCATGGAAATAATCAAATATTAATCCATTCCGTCCTATATTTGCTTGCTACTTTACGGTCTGAATTACGAGCATTTTACATATTGAATCTTGGATGAATGTATGCATTTCCGTAATTCTATGCAAAGTTTCGAAAATTTACAGAGTAGACCAGTTGATGTTTTTCTGTTCACGAATGGAAGACTCAACTAAATATCGGCTTATGTAACATAGATTCAAGTGTGAATACAATTCGAATTTAAACACTGAATAACCACGTTCACTCATTGATCTTAGACAGTTATATGTTTCCATGTCTCATGAAGCTGACCACATGAATGATCGAAGCAAAAGCGACTGAGATCGAAGGGGCTCCGGGTCGTACAATCTCTGATGCCGAAAGATTAACACCGGAAGCTTCACTGACTCTTATAGAGCACCAGTTAAGAGATTTCCCCTGAGGAGATCGAGTCTGGATAGCGTCAACACGGATGGTTCGGTGGATGCACGATTCGAAGTTTATACCTCTCCAAATTCAGCCACGCTGAGAAAAATAGAGTACTAGAATTCTCTGTCTTTCAAACAAGGTCTTCATTAGTAAATTGTTGACCATTTCGGTTGCTATTTCTACACTAGTTCGAGAATGTTTTTCCCCACCTAATCATGGATTGGAAAAATACAAATGGTGTGTTCAGTGAGAGGGGCAGAATGTATAATTGTAGCAAACAGGAAGAAAGATGTCTTTCGCACGACTCTAAACACGTTTGAGCTATCCAATGCTTGCTTTAGAGTTATTAAAACACTCTAACACGATATACATTACAGTCTAAGTTCTCTAGAACAAAAACTGACAAATTTCTCTTTTTTATCTCGTACTAATGGCCAATCTACAGGACTTTATAATCTTTAGGACGTTTAAGGGTCCTCTATGTTTTGGCTTCTCCCTAAAATGTACGCTCGGAAAGAGTGAAGACGAAGTTGAGATTCTAGTGGAACCCAATTGGATCGTGTCAATCAGTCCTGTTAATGAAATACTAACCCGAATTGGCCGACACCGACCAAGGAACAGTTCTTAAACACCTTATTCATGGAGCTTTTTAGTATTATTTGGTGGTTTGCCAGATCAAAAGCCTCCTAAATGTCCGTTTCTTTGAATGTTCTTGTTAACTTATCACGGCCGATAAAATTTCACATTCCTCGGAGTTCAGCAACAATTTATTTCATTACTTTTATCAGAACAGAAAGAAATGCAAGTAAGAGCTAGGTCACCAAATCCATTTTATAGTCACTTTACAGAATATTAAAAGGACACGCACACATTCCCCAGCACCGAGGCATCGCCGATTTGTCTGAAAACACTTAGGATAAATTAGCTGTTAGTTCAGATATGTGGTTTTCCAGTGAAGTCAGAGTCTACGGATGAATGTTGTCTCTCCTGGGGACGAATTCCTACACAACACCATTAGTTTGGAGTTGACCGTTTCAGTTGCGAATTAGAAGGTTGTCAGTTGGGGCTATAGAACAAATGACGGAGGATGTGGAATCTACAATTGGACTTTTCAACCTGCACTAAACACTTCGTAAAACTGTTTATTTACCAATTCAGCAACTAAATATGTAGTACTGAAAGCCCATCCGACCAGGCTAGGTGATCTCATCCTATACCTGCACTCACCCTTTCACCCAAATTCGACACAAGCAATTCTCAGTGTGATCTAGCGATAATCCCAAATGTCGGCAGTCGAACATCAGTCGTAATCCCATCAGCTGAGATTCGTGTGTATCATTCATTTCTTTGTGCTGCAGCGAGTAGATGAAAATCACGTCTTCGCTCGACCCAGTGCCTCGACCATTGTTTCAGCCCTTATGAATTTGTCAAGATACTAGTGAACCAAAATATTCTTCAGACGGAGTCCACTGCTAGGGTGACGCAACTCCCGGCAATAGCACTTCTTCAGTAAGAGTGAAACTACTGCTTTCCGTGCATCATTCTATAGGGCGTCGTGAATGGAATCAAAAAGCAAACCTGTGTGGAAACTGTGTCCTCAAAAAAACGTAATTTTGGCAGATTCTAGGATAAGCTTCTCGCTGATGTCAGCATTCGGTCAATTGCCCCTAATGGTTAGCCTGTTCCGAACCCAGTAGGTTCATTTAAATGATTATACGTTTTTTTGTGCGCTAGTTATCTATGTTAGACGATGCTCGAATGGCTGGCTATATTTTTGGCTTTTTATGAAATAGGAACAAGTACATCCTTCATTTACAGAACATAATCAGACTTAATAAAGGGGAGAACGGCATGTTCTACCAAAATGATCTCTTTAGTTGCGTCTCGAGAGGCAACAAAGTGATGGACTACACCGACCAAACAGTATGGTAAGAAACAAAGTGTTCTGGGGTCTGGCTGCATTAAGAAAATCAAGCACTTTACACGAAAGATTTCCACCAAAATAGATCAGTACACCACCACTTCGGGTAAGACAATCACATCTGCGTAGAACCAGTATAGGCCGTCAACCGAGTTTCACTAATGACAGTAGGAGCCCACTGACCAGTTGGTCAGTACAGCTACACCTCGGTAACAAAACTGGTAAAGTCTTGTGCGCTGGCCTTATGATCGACTGGCTATTATCCGTTAAGAACTCAGTTTGGTTTCGAATCATTTATTTTGCCTACCACCCTACGGACAACAAACAGGGGGTTTTGTGGAACATCGGTTCTAATGCTCTAGACTTGAGAAGGTGAAGAGGGAAGAGTATTTCTGGTTGAGAGAGGCAACCTGTTAATACTGTTTTCGAATGGAGGATACCGTTTGATCTCAGTGTTCAGCAAGGGTCTTAGGATTAATTCTGGTGGTTCTATTATTGTTTCTGTACGACGCCCGATGCTACCTCTTTTGGGATGCTTAGGGATACTTTCATAATCCCCAGGCCGCTGCCATGATACTTTGCTGGGCAGAGTAGCTAAATAATTGACGTTGTAAAAATTCTGTGACATTCGATTAGCTCTTGATTGAACTTCTTTTATTGATTGACATTTTGTGCTTCCTCTAATTTAGAGACCCCATGAATCAGTACAACTACCTAGTCTCTGACACGCATATATCTGCCGGGTTTGTGCGATACCGCTAAGTTCCGTACACAGTCGATCAGCAACTATTCTTTTTCTACTCAAATTCGAAGTCACGAGAAGTAATTTGCGTTCCCCAGCTTGAAACGATTACGGCTGATGCACGATACTCACTGGGTGAATGCCGATAACCAATTGTGCACATAATGCAGTCCAGTGACCGAGCTTTTCCACCTATCTGTCTCTTGCAGTAAATCGACTGTCACTCATGGCACATTTGTGTAGATAACTTTCAGGGCACTGATATTCATTGCTTCTTTTTCTTTTGGCAATGTTTCGTGCAACGGCGGCATAGATATTCGTGACTAAGCTTCGTTCTCAGATTCTTAAATTAGGACTGCATCGTTTGTTTTTGTAGTTGTTTTTGTTATTGTCGTCGTCGTTTTCGTTGTGAGTAAGTGTCAGCTGTACTAAGGCCGGGTATTTTCTGGAACACCTAAGTCTCTGAATCAAGTCCGTCAGGTTAGTTGATCTATGAGTTCAGTGACTCAAGTCTTGCTTCCAATCTGTCCATTTGCCTCGTTCTCCTATGGTGGCCTTTGGTACATTTCTACCATACTCCCCATGCATCTGGTCATCGGAATTTTCAAACATTCCGAACAGAACAACGAACAATAGGAGTGATTCATTATTCATTTAATTTACTCAGGCGAGGTCTTAGCACACACTGTGCGGATCATTGAGAACCCATTATCCCCGACTGCATACACCAAACATTCCTGTGGCAGGGAACGTGGCCGTCATGAACAAACTCCGACGGCTCCTGTGGGCGTGAGACGAACGACTGGATAGACCACAATTGAGGAAGGTCTAGAAGAACGGATTTGGGTTAGCTGGCTCCGCCGCAACCAGAAATAGACAGAATTGATCCAGTGCTCATTGCCTTCCTCACAGTGATATCACCGAATTGACAGCACAAAGCATAAAAGCTGTGTGGTCAGAATGGGGATTTCGGAGTAACTCACCCGAACAGACATTATCACCGATTTGCTAGAGGAATAATACATCGGTTGAGTATGACCAAAAATTAAAACATTACATTGTTTGGGTAGGGGTCAACGCTGCAAACATTTTGTAAACCGCAGACGACCATGATTTAAGTTCATGTCTCCTTTCACTGAATTTTCAATTGGTTACGAAACGGTTACAGATTTTACATTGCTTTTAAAACCGCCAGTTTAATCGATCGTACTTTAATCTACCGTTTTCACTATTCTGGCCCTTACGGAATGCACACTGCATCACCACCCCATGTTGCAGGTGAGAAACTGGTTGAAAGTCTCGGACAATCTGAAACTGTTTCTCATGATTCTGGCCGTCATTTTGGGCGTGCTGATCGGAGCACTTGTGAAATATCTTGTCCCGAATGTCAGCTCACGTACAGCCACCCTGGTCGGTTACCCGGGCGAATTGCTCATGAATATGCTCAAAATGCTGATTATCCCGCTGATCGTGTCAACCCTGATTTCGGGTAAGTTTATACGAGAACGTATTGTGAGAACCGCGGAAGAAACAAACCGCAAAACCGCTGACGTATTGAGAAAAACAAAGGTTACCTCATAGTTGATATCATTGTAATGGATAATGTTTATCGTATTACGTACTTACTCAAAACCAAGGACTTGAAAAAATCGTCGACAAATACATGGAACTGAAGATATACTGATACTGATCACGGTAGCAGTAAGATTGAATTTTCCAGTGAAAATGATTTGCAATTTCATGCAACAAATAACGTGCCTTATCAAAAGACACGTTACACGGAAAGTAAAAGGTTAAAGGAAGAATGTAAGCCGTTAGGATTGAAGGATAGGCTGACGGACACAAAGATAAAGAGACTAAATGATTGACTGACTGACTGACTGACTGACTGATTGACTGACTGACTGACTGACTGACTGACTGACTGACTGAC